TGTACTTTGGGTCACTACACGTGGTAACCAACCGCACAGCACCTGATACCAGCAGAGGCAGGTGGTGTGCGTGCTTGTTTCCTGAGAAATAGCCCTTGGGGTCCTTGGGGTGCTTTGGTCTGGAACTTCTGGGCCACACCTGGTGTTGTGCTGTTGAGTGGGAGCTGACTGGACTTGAAAGGACTCACTTAGGTGGCTGATAAATCAGCTCACCACAGGAAGCTGGATGTTAACCAATCAAGCGGGGCTGACCAATAAACACTCAGGACAGGAAGACTCAGAGAGCTTCTTGGTTGGTGAAAGGCGTCTTTGCATCTGAGCGTGTAGCAAGTCTTTGGGGACATGAAGAAGGGTGTCCTTTCCACATGGAGGAAGCACACCTGCCTGTGTGATCATGCGGTGTTGATGGGATCAGGCATCAGGCATCAAAGACCCAGAACAAAAAACCATGTTGTGAATGGGGGGGGTGTGTGCACAGTGGAGACCCAAAGCCCATCTGTGGACAATTGGACATCCCCTTACAGAAGGGTCACAAGGAAGAGATGAACCAGTCAGGGTAGAGTATAGCATCGTTGAAACATACAACTCTAGTTCTTTAATGCTTCCTCCCCACCATCATGACCCCAATTCTACCTTACAAATCTGGCTAGACCAGAGCATGTACACGAGTACTGATAAAACCTGGAAACACAGGGAATCCAGGACAGATAAAACCCTCAGGACTGATGGAAGATTGGGGGAAAAAGAGGGAACTGATCACAATGATCTATATATAACCCCCTCCCAGGGGGACAGACAACAGAAAAATGGGTGAACGGAGACATCGGTCAGTGTAAGACATGCATAAGCAATACTAATTTATAACTTATCCAGGGTTTATGAGGTTGGGAAGCTGGGGGAGGGAGGGGCAAAAATGAGGAGCTGATATCAAGGGCTCAAGTAGAAAGCAAATGTTTTGAGAATGATGATGGCAACATATGTACAAATGTGCTTGACACAATGGATGTATGGATGAAGTGTGATAAGAGTTGTACAAGCCCCCAATAAAATGATTAAAATTTTTTAAAAAGGAAAAATAAAACCAAATCTAAAACAATGAAGTGTAATATTTGTGGAAGAAGGCAGGGCAATGAGATTAGATGAAGGCTTGGTAAAGTGCCTTCAATGCCACGTCCAGGAGTTTAGAATCGTTTCTAAACACTGAATGTTTTGGAGCAGGGCATTGACCCTTAAAGAGACTTGGGACACTAACATGAAAGGTGTGAGGCGGGTGGGGGACCAGGCAGTGTGCGTTCTGTTGTGCAGAGAGCCGCCATGGGTTGGAACCAACTTGATGGTACCTAACTAACATCAACAACAACTAATCATGTGAACAATAGAAGAGGCTGGGTGGGTATAAATGGGTATAAATCAGGAGACCAAAAAGAAACCAGTAATTGATAAGGCAGTAAATATTTATTTATTTAGTGGGTACCATTTAAAATATTTATTTACTATGAGTACCAGCTAAGTGCAGGGTACCAACCTAGTTGCTTTGAATCAGATAGGCAGATTCTTGGCTGTTTGGGAGGGGCTCTGGTGATGTCTAATGAAAGGGGAAGTATGAGGCTCTCAGGGGGAACCCTTCAGAAAGTTACTTAACTGAGACTGTGGGGGGGATTGACCTTTGAACTGCAACCGAGTAGAGTAGAAATTAGCCCAGGTGAGAAGGGTGTGAAGGAAACTGTAGCCTTGTCAGCCAGACAAAGGCCCAAAGGTGGTGAGGATTGCAATGAAACTGTGTGCCAAATTCAGCTCCTCAAACATGCTTTGTTTAACCCACAGATGTTGTTTTGCCTTAAAAAAAAAAAAATCTGTGGTAAATCTACGTAACAAAACATTTGCCACGTCATCTTTCCTTACTGCTCCAGTTCTGTGGCAGCTTATCTTCATCGGGTGGTGGTTCCATTGTTGCCTGTAGCCATTCCTCTATTTTTCCATTACCCAAGAGCATTTTTAAGAGCTTCGTGTTAGTCGCTAGCCTTTGAGAACAGTGAAGTTTGGCCCAAGAAACTTCATTTCTGGCACTTGCAAAATGAAAACGCACCAGCCAACACTGGGCCCAGTCTCGTGAGCAGGCGTCGGTCAGCTCGGGCTGCTGTAGAAAGACTTCTCCACTCACCAGGGTTTGGCTGGCTGCGGCGAGCAGCAGATCAGCTAAACTGCCTAGCCCTTCCAAGTGCCGCCAAGTTGGCCAGAGCATGAAGGATTAAAGGGGTGCTAGAAAGCCACGCAGGGTTCCGATTAGTCAGCTTTCCTAAACTAGGACAGAGTTCAGACTTAATCTTGTGGAGAAATGATGGCTGTGAAGCGTTTTTAGAAACATTTTAGGAAGATGATTCTGGTCGTGGGACTGATTACCAGTAGATTCACAGTGGTAAGATCGAGGCTGACTGGCCTCCAGTTAGGGGTCAGGGTCTAGGCTAGGAACGCGGTGGCCTAGAGATGGATGAGGACATGTTTGCCAGCGACATTGGGGTAATCTCCAGAAAAGTGAGTGAGAGGGAGGGGTCAAGGTTTCGGTCTTGAGCAATTGCAGGGTGGTAAAAAAAAATGGTATGGAGGCAGTGCCTGCCTCCTGCCTGCACAGGGGGAAGGAGAATCCAGTTCACCATCAGCCAAAGTCAATCACGTCTCCACCTTCCAACTTTCTCTGCGGATTCTGACGCCAGCCTGCCCGCCCGTGGCACTCTGCTGCTCTCTGCATTCAGGAATTCTCTGCAACGGTCACACAGAATTCACAGACCATACTCATGATAATGGGCTTTATAAGTGAAGTGACTCTTTACAAGGAACCGGATCAGGAATGCTCAGGATACAGTTCTTGGGTCAGGACACCCTCCCTCGGGCATGCGCAGGCCCTCGGTCTCATGGGCTGCTTGGAAAACTGTTTCAAAGCTGTTTTAGCCCGTGGCCTCCCAAGCCCCTTGGCCTTCCCCGACTTGGGCAAGTACAGCTCTGCTGAGAAGTGTTCAGCTCTGGCCCCGCTTCTTAGGCTGGCAAACCTTCTCTTCCAATTACGTGCCTGGAGGCAGCCTACTCTGTCAGGGAGCTTCCTGTCCAAAGCCAAGCCCCTGCTGCCTCCTGCTCTTGGTTCTGCAGCCAACGTGTCTCTTCCACCTCTCCGCACCTGCCTGTGGCACAGCGCTCCTTCCTAAGGATGGTGGGGGTTCAGCACAGTGATCTTGGCGTCCAAGGAGCACTCTCCTTCAAGCTCCTTCTTGATTGTGAGTCTCTTCTGCTCCAGAGCTGGCTCCTCTTAAAGCTAGTTAGATGGTGAAGCCAGCCAGTCCCCTCACTAGAGTACGTATTCCTTATTGTTTGTATGTTGTCATCCCACAAGGGTGTCATGTTACCTCATTTACACCATTGGCGATGTCCAGTCCCCTTGGAGGGCCCCGGAGCCTTCACATCCCCAGGCATTTTGGTTGGAGTGACAAAAACTATAGGCAGAGCAGCCGGGTCGAGTAATTCTAGGTAACAGGGAGAAAGGAGAAACTAGTGGCGGATGCAGTGGATTACAACAGGAAGACACAGGTGACAAACATGAACAATAGTATTATATCAAAATAAATAAATATGTGCCCTGTGCCAGAAAACGACACGGGTGGATGTGGAGGATGGGTTATTCGGAGCAACAGCCACAGAGCGTTTACCTGCTGGCTCCAGGGACACGAGCAGGACCCTGGGGGCTCCTGGCTGGGGCTGGCTGAGAAGCCCGTGGAGTGAATTGTAAGCTGGAGCTCCGAGCAGAGATGGAGATGGTGGGAGAGTTTGGGCAGCTTAGAGAAGGTAGCCGAAGCCAGGCTCCGATGAGATTACCAAGGAGGGAGAGGACACATTAGTACAGTACAAACAAGTTTGTATTTGGATCCAACTCAGGGGTCTCTTACCTGCTTTTGAGACAATATCTCTTTTCCAGTCATATATTCCAATGCAAGTCAAATGGTACCTAGAGCCAGACCCCTGAGTTTCTGTTCCAGCTTCGTGGCTGTGTCCACTTGGGCCTGGCCTCCGCCGCCCCACTGTCCTCCCTGCAAAGTGAGGGCAATAATGCCATGCAAACCGACAACACCCTTGTGAGGATCATCGTGTGAAATTGCACTTAGGATACTTGGCGCCGCGCCTGGCCCAGAGCGAGCGCTCGTTCAACGTGACTGTGTGGAAATGCGTCCTGCAGGATGCTGTGGCCTTGGAGTCAGTTCTGACCTGGGGGGGCAGGGGGGGGACATGGGCAACAGAATGAAATGCTGCCTGGCTATTATCGGAATCACTGCCACAACTGTGGCATGATTTGAGACCAGGGTGATGGCCTTCCAATGTAGGGAGCTCGTCTTGTAGCTCCCTACCCAATCATAGTCTGTTGTCATCCCCCCAGGGTTTTTGTTAGTCAATTCTTGGCAGTAAGTCACTAGGCCTTTTGTGGAGTCTCTCTTAATCAGGTCGTACCACTGAGACCCATCAAGTACCAACGACCCTGTTGGTATTCAAAATACGGGCCCAAATAAGATGTGTGTGGGTACTTAGAGCAAAGGGTCATCTTTTGAAGATGACTTACACTTCAAGGATGGGGTGGTAGTGAGTTAAGTTAAAGGAAAAAGGAGGCAGCGGGGTGTGGGGGTCAGTGTAGGGAGGTGACCAGGATGTTTTTGTGGGAGAGTGTAACTGACCGGAGTGGTTGGTGTGAGGGTGTCCCATCTCTCTCAGTTGTCTTCAGTTACCTCCTTGTTCTCGGCCTGTCGGAGCCGTGATCACATATCTGTATTACACTGTGATACTTTATCAAGTGCTTTACCATTTACAGAGTGAGTACACAATCTCATGCCGTCTCTCAGCCTCCCCGTGAGCTAGCCGTGCCTGTTTATTCCTGCTCAGTAACTGAGGTGATTGAGGTGCACAGCTGAGCAGGAAGGACAAGTTCAGAGTGGACTAACATGCCCCTTCTCCCCTCCGTCCCCTAGCGCCCTCACAAAGCCAACGCGGAGGAGATGACCAAGTACCACAGTGATGACTACATCAAGTTCTTGCGCTCCATCCGCCCAGATAACATGTCGGAGTACAGCAAGCAGATGCAGAGATGTAAGTCCATTGCCCCTCCCTCCTCTCCCAGCCCCCTTGGATCTCGGCCCGCCTTGCCTTCCCCTGGACTGCCTGCCTTTCATGGGTGGCCCAAGTGATGCTTTCTTCTCAAGCCTGATCTCCTCTGTTGCCGGAGGCTGAAGAAGCGAGGCAGGAGTTTTCCCAGTTGGGTTGCCAGCCTTGCCTCCGGTACTGTCATTGTCGTTGGGGAGAAAGCACTGAGCTGGGAGGCACAGAGAGGAGACCGAGAACCCAGCTCTCTTTGACCAAGTCGCCCCCCCCCCAGCTGCAGACCGCCCAGGACAGCTTTGGGATGAAGTCAGCTTTGGGCTGAAGCAGTTCTGCCCTCTGCCTCTGGCACCTGAGCCCTCAGACCAGGCCCCTTCTCAGCGGCCATACCCTGTTTGTAGGAAGAACAGAGATTTTTCTAGCTGTAGGCAAACTTGCGTTCAGGCTTGGGAAGAAACTATCAGCCCTGACTTCTCCCAGGTGCTGCTTCAGAAGTGATCTCTGGCTGAGTGAGACCCTGTACCTGAAGCCCCTGTAGCATGGGGTTTGGATAGAAGTGTGAATGGCAGCTGGTCGGGAGAAAGCAGGCACCTGTAGCTCGTAAGCATTGACACTGGCCACAGATCTGAGTCCCAAGGCAGGAAGTTCTCTCTCGATGCCGTACATTGTGCAGTGGGAACAATGGCAGAAGCACAGAAGCCCCACAACCCCAGCAGCTGTTACACTCTCGGGGAAACGTTTGCTGGACAGACACTGTCTTTTCCCCTCTTTCCATGACGCGGTGCACTCGTCCGCCCCGCCCATTTAGGCCAGGACTCTCCGCAGAGAGCCAGGTTGGAATTGCCACAAGGGAGGGAGCGTCGGTGTCTCGGCGTGAGTCGGCTCCTCGCTCGGCCACTGAGCTGTGTGGTCCTGGGTCAGTCTCCTGGCTTCTCTGATCCTCATCTTCTCTTCTTTCAAGGGAGACCGTAGCACCGACTAGGAGAGTAGGAGGATAAGTCAGATAAACGTACATCAATCAAAGCACCGACCTGCCGTAACTAGGAACATTTGCTGTTAAGGCTGATGATTTTTGTTATTTGCAGTCAAAGTATGAGACCCTCAAGAACATATGCTTTTGGCTCATGGTTGGCTCTGATTTCCCTGAAATCAACATTCTAAAGTGTGCAAAGAAAATGGGTCTGAAATTGTTGTTAGTACAAAGATGAGGCATCCCAGGGCTTCAGGGCAGTGCACAGACTTGATCTAAGGCAGGGCCGGCAGCGACTACAGCTGTCACTTCTCACAGTCACTGAACAACTTGCGGGGCTTGCTGGGGTGTCTGCAGAACCCGCAATGAGAACGTAAACGCTCCTTTGACTGCCACCTAACAGGATGCTATACCTGTGACAAAGCTGAGTTAGCTGTCCTAGGTCCTGGCTGGGTCACCTTGAGCAGTGGTAACTGAGCCCAACATTTCATTCATGACAATGACAACATGAACAGTCGCGAGTTTGGAGGGTTAACCCACTGCCCGATACATGGGGCTCGTGGTCCTGGGGCTGGACAGTGGTGCAAAGCGTGGGAAGGTCTCCAGTCCGCTGCTGGGAGAGGTGAGACCTGGGAAGGTGCTGAGATTTTCCCAGGACCGCACAGCAGAGTGGCGGTAGAATGGAAAGTGGACCTCCAGTCTCGTAATCCTGGCCACCATAGTCTGCAAGAACATGACTTTACGGAAGATTTCAGACACACACAAAAAACACACGGTGATGGTGGAGGAATAATTTGGAAACGGATATAATAATGATTGCGTAACCGAGTATAATCAATGGCACTAAAAATACATGTAGAAGTTGTTGGATTGGAGAATATTTTGTTGTGTGTATTTTCCCCACAGATTAAGTAAAATAATTATTATTATCCTAATGATGAGTACAAGGAAGAGCATTGCTAACATTGACTATGATCATGATTGACTGACTGTTGGTTTGTGTGGTAGGTAGAAGAAATGCCAATACAACTTAAAAAGAAAAAAGAGGTACATGATGAACACCCATGAACGCACTAGGCATCTTAAAAGCATGACCAATATCGTGCAGCCCTCCACCCCCACCCCCAACTGCTCCTTGATCACCTACCCTTTTCCTATGGTGCCCTGCCATTCCCACCACCACCTCCGAGGGGAGCCCTGTCCTGGAGTCTGGGTGTGGTCCCTTGTGTGTTTCTGCACCTGCCCCAACTCTCCTCTCGTGTTGCTCCCCTTCACTGGAAGTGCCCCCCAACCCCCCAAAAAAAGAGAGAAAAGTAGTTTTAGGGCTAGTGGGAGATCCCACAGAAAGGCCCTCCTGGCCTCACAGGGTAGCCCAAGTCGGGCTGGGTCCTTAGGAGCCCTGGTAGCATAGTGAGTTACAAGTTGGGCTGCTAAGTGCAGCGTCAGCAGTTCGAAGCCACCAGACACTGCTCAGTGGAAGATGAGGTTTTCTTCTCCCATCCAGAGTTAACAGTCTCAGGAAATCCACCAGGGCAGTTCTAGCCTGCCCCCCAGGGGCTCCACACCCCAGATGGTAACGCCGTCAAAGCTCTGGAACCCTGGACGGCCAGACTCGACCCACAGAATGAGGGAATCATTGAGAAGGAGGGATCCGTTGCCAGAAGATGATAGGCCTGCCCCACGGACCAAAGTTCTTATTGACACAGCCTCCCAATGTTTACCTCAGGGTCAGGGAGAGTCACCCACTTCCTCCGAGCACCTGCCTTGGCAGGGCACTAGGTCAGGGCACCCTCCTGTGGAGGGGTTGGCAGGAGTCAGTAGCGCTTTGTGGTTAATGCGGGCCTTGGGCCTCAGCTGTCTCTCAAGAAGTTACTGTCAGTTTCCAGGCTGTGCAGCCCTGCCCGTTCGCACCAGAGTGCCCCTCCTTGCCCTGGCTTGGGGAGTCTCCGTTGACAACGGCAGGGTGTGGTGGGAAGAGTGGGACAGGCGAGTAAGGGTCAAGTTGGCAGCCTGCGTCTGACTTCACCGGTGTCTCACTGATGGCATACTGGTGGTTGCCTTTTTTGTGACGCTGGGGGCCCTAAGTTCCCCTCTAGGCTGCCACACGGCAGCCTCCATGTGTGCTTCCACCCCCTCCCTTCTTTGTCATTTCATTTGCATGATTGTTTGCATGTGTTTCTTCCTGAGACCCCAGTTGTCACTTGTGTATGTTGTAGAAGGAGCAGACTAGCACTGCTAGGGGTCCCCTGCTAGCCCCGCTGCCTCATTTACAAAATGGGTCCGAATCCTACTTGAGAAGGTGAGCTCCGGTATCAAAAGCATTCACCCTGTGCATGGTCCGTGGAAGTGTTTGGTGAGAGATCCTTGTGATCGCCTTCACTTCCTTGTTGGCCAGACGGGACGAAGCAGCTCAGTTATTCTCGTTCAAGGAAGGAGCTCACAATTTCCCAGCCCTAGCCAAACGCTTCCCACGTAAGATTTCTGTTCATCTTCACAGCGGTTGGGTGAGGTTGACATCGTTATTGCTCAAAGAAGTTACATGGCTTGGCCTAGTCGCACTGCCAGAGCCCAAGTCCCATCAGCTCTTAGTGAGCTCCATGACAGCCGAGGGAAAGTGCGCACACTAACCTTTCCCCTCTCTCTTTCAAGTCAACGTCGGTGAGGACTGCCCGGTGTTTGATGGGCTGTTTGAGTTCTGTCAGCTGTCCACTGGCGGCTCTGTGGGTAAGGAATGTCCATCCCTCTCCCTGCTCCTCTGGGGCAGACCTGACCTGTGAGCGTGCGGAGCAACCCCATAGGCTCACCTGAGGTTTCGAAGATGCTTTTCTGGTTTGGTCCCCCCAGGTTTCAGCTCCTTGTAGCCCTGAGGTGTCCTTGTCTGTCCGCCCAAGAGCTTTCCTTTTCTTTTTCTTTTTAATCGTTTTACTGGGGGCTCAGACAACTCTTATCACAATCCATACATGCATCAATTGTGTACAGCGCATTTGTCCATTCGTTTCCTTCATCATTCTCAAAACATTTCCTCTCCACTTAGGCCCTGGCATCAGCTCCTCATTTTTCCCCTCCCTCCCCGCTCCCCCCTCCCTCATGAGCCCTTGATAATTTATAAATTATTGTTTTGTCATATCTTACACTGTCCAACGTCTCCCTTCGCCCACTTTTCTATTGTCCCCAAGAGCTTTTCTATGATGAGAGATTCCCTGAAGCCCTGCTGGTGGAGTTGGGATGCTGGACAGGAAAGCAATTTGTGAGCGGCCGAGTGGTCCACCAATGGGAAGTGTCATCTTTTCTCTCTTAGGAAAGAGCATAGTAAGCGCCTTCACACATCAAAGGCACTCCCCACACATCTCTACGTGAGTACTGCAGTTAGTACTCCCAGGTGTCCTTCTGACCTCTAAGCCTTTCTTAGCACGTGTTTACCTGGACCGCTCTTGGTGACCCCCTCCCCTCCTGGTACAATTGTGGAAAACAAAGGCACACAAGGCGCCATTTCAGTGTCAACTGCCTGTGGGTCACCACTGTGGACCACCCTGGTGGTTTTGTTCCTACGTTTTTAACTCAGCAAATCTTTAAAATTTCTGCCCATCGCATGCTGCTAATGATGTCTGACGGCTGCAGGCACGTTGACGGCATATGCACGGATCTACCCGAGTTGGGACAGTCAGTCACCTGTTGGTGGAGATGGCCCCCCCGGGTGATGCAGATTGTTGGCATTCAACTACTAGACTCAAGGCTGGCGGTTGAAGCCCACTGCTGTGCCGTGGGAAAAGGCCTGGCAGTCTGCTTCCTAAAAAATCACAGCCCAGAAGATCCTACCCTGACCTTCCTTTGGCTTCAGTAGAGCATGCCTGTGGACAGTGGCCCCTGCCATTGTCCTCTGCCACTGTAGCAGGGTCACCCGTAGTGCTGGTCAGAAGCGGGATGGCACCGAGGCCCAAGTCACAATCTTGAAGTCCTAAATTCCATTTTCCTAGACAGTATAGTGGTGATTTGTGTGCAAAGATTGTAAATGTCAACAGAAAAGTGGCAAGTTCATGAAATTCAATGAAATGTTTTTATTAAAAAAAGAAGATCCCGTTGGGCTCAGTTCCACCCCAGCACGAAGCACCTGCCGCCGCGAGTTGGAATTAGCCTGAACAGTCGTCTTTATTGCTAGCTTTGTTGGGTCGTTGGTTTCTTGTTAACAGCCGCAGTGCACCTGCACCCATGGGTGTGCACCTCTCTCCCAGCTCCTCTTGGTCCTGTTTGTGCTGTGCCTTTGGTATCTCTCCCAAATTCGCTAGCCATGAACCTCAGTCAGAGATACATTTACACACGTGATACAGGGCGCGCGCGCGCGCGCGCACACACACGCACACACACACTCCCTCTCTGTCTGAAGCCAGAGTTCCACAGATGACTAGTTGCCACTCCTGTGTTACTCTGATTTTCTGTCTCACCTCCTTCATTAAAGGTGAAATGCCATTCACCTCCCACTAAGTCAGTGTGAGGGCCTACTAAGGGATTACCCTCCTGGCTTCGGAAGGCAGTCTTTTAAGAGCGCTCAGTGTTGAATGTCGTCCCTGTTGGAGTGAGGTGGGGGAGGGGGGGGCTGGCTTGTGAAGCATCTTCGGTGGGAGGAGGTGGAGAGCGGCTTAGTGACAGGCGCATGCCCTCTCATCCCACCCCCTAGCAAGTGCTGTGAAGCTGAATAAGCAGCAGACGGACATCGCTGTGAACTGGGCCGGGGGCCTGCACCATGCCAAGAAGTCCGAGGCGTCCGGCTTCTGTTACGTCAATGACATCGTCTTGGCCATCCTGGAGCTCCTAAAGTATGCCTACCCGGCCTTGTCTCTTGGAGGATCACCTTAGGCCAGGTCCCCACGTCCCTCTCCCCCCACGGGCTGGCCTCCCTAGTTGGCTTTCCCCAGTGCTGTGCTGGCTAGTGTGTTTGGTGAGTCACCCTCTGGCCACCCTCTCCTTGACGGGGTCTTGGCTTGATCTGAGCCCACGGCAAGATCAGGGGCAGGTGCTGCTCAGATCCTGCCTCCAGAGTGTCCCCGGTGGCTGGAGTTGACCCTGGCTGTAGAGTAGGAAGATCGGACTTGGTCAGCTTGGTCAGGCCTCTGGAGACACCGGCTGCGCTTCTACCTTCCTCCAGCCAGTTTCCACGTCTCTGGTGCTTAGAGATACCTGAGGGAGGCAGCCAGCCCGGTAAGCTGGGACCTGGCGCCCTTGGCGCGTCCCATCCCCCAGGAGCCCCCAGGCCCCTAACCCTCTTCTGACCCTAGGTATCACCAGAGGGTGCTCTACATTGACATCGACATTCACCATGGAGACGGCGTGGAAGAGGCCTTCTACACCACAGACCGGGTCATGACCGTGTCCTTCCACAAGTATGGGGAGTACTTCCCAGGGACCGGGGACTTGCGGGTAAGAAGTCCCAACAGCAGCCAGCCAGCTCGCTCACCCTCCGCCCCACCGCCAGCTCGAGTACTCTAAACCCACTTCCTGTCTCTTGGTTCCACACACTGTACCCCAACCCGGGGCACCTGTGACTGGCTCTGGGGTCTTTCCCGCCTGTGCTGGGGGAAGGCAGTGGTGGGCCGTAAGTGTGAAGGTCGGCCGCCGCCACTGCTGGGTGGTACGCTCAGCTGTCCCCCAAGGCTGGAGTTTGGGGCTGGGAGAGCAGGTTCTCTTCCTGGAGCTAGGAATCATCCAGGGTCACTGTCCCCGGGAAACCAAGGGTGGGTCCCAGAAAAGTGCACCACAGTTGGCGTGCGACCTTGCGGTTAACAGACCATCCATGGCCCTCAGCACAGAGAGCTTTGGCAGCGAATTCGTTGATTGTTCCGCCAGAGCGGCCGTTTGCCAGAGCTCGGTAAAGGCACCAGCCCAGCGGTGGGCGCGGAGAGCACTACAGTAACTGAGCGCTTGGGGTGTCGGGGGCGCTCTTGTTCCTGCTCCCCTTGCCGGGCCCCTTCCCCTGGGGGGTAAAGGAGTGGTGAAGAGGAAAGGATGGCTGGGAGTTGGGGCTATTTCTGTCACCCAGCCAGATGGCGCTACCCTGGTGCATCGGCAGACCCCTAGGGCTGTGGGGCAGTGTATTCAGCCAGGGAGGGAGCCCTGCTACATCCCCAGCTCATCCAGGGGCCCGGCTGGCGTCCCTCTGCTGGTCTCCCAGTCACCACCCTTCAACGCCCCCCACTGCACCCTCCATTGTACTTCAGTGTCCCTCTTGATGTAGGATATTGGCGCTGGCAAAGGCAAGTATTATGCTGTCAACTACCCGCTCCGAGATGGGATTGACGACGAGTCCTATGAAGCCATTTTCAGGCCAGTAAGTGACTTCCTTGGCCATCCCTTGGGCTGCAAACAGGGCTGTCCTTGGGGCAGGTGGGGGTGGGTTGGGGAGTAGGTAGCAAAGCACCTCGGCCTCCCACGAGGTTTCTGCTGTACAGAGGCTGGTCAGAAATGTGTGCGTTTCAGGCTGGGCTGCATGCCGTGGTCAGTCAGGGGAACTGATGCCTCCCGCAGGATGGCACTCTGCTGGACATGATCCTGTCTGAGGAGTCTTTGCCCACGGAGACCCCACAGTTTGGGGGCGTGGGGCAGTGCGTGGTCCGTAACTACTGCCGGGATGGGGAGAGGGTGCTTAGCAGTGGTTTCACAGAGGGACTGACACTGATCAGAGGGAACAAACCGCTTAGAGCAGTGGTTCTCAACCCTTTAATTCCGCGACCCTTTCATACAGTTCCTCGTGGTGGTAACCCCCAACCATAACATTGTTTTCATTGCTACTTCATCACTGTCATTTTGCTGCTGTTATGGGCAACCCCTGTGAAAGGGTCGTTCAACCTCCAAAGGGGTCACAACCCACAGGTTGAGAACTGCTGAGGTCCTCAAACTTTTTTAACGGGGCCAATTCACTGTTTCTCAGACCCATTGGAGGGCCGGACTATAGTTTCTAAAAAAAAACTATGAACAAATTCCTATGCACACTGCACATATCTTATTTTGAAGTAAAAAAAAAAACGGGGCAAAAACACCCGGCGGGCCGGATAAATGTCCTCGGTGGGCCACATGTGGCCCTCGGGCCGTAGTTTGAGGACGCCTGCCTTAGACTGTCAGCCTGGTCAGATCAAGCAACCGCCAAGTTCCTACTCTGTGTCTAGCAGTAAGAATGACAGAGAAGCCCAAGTTTAGGATTTTTTTTTTCTCCTCAGTAAAGTTAGCATGGAGTCATGAGACTTAAGATGTCTAAAATGAAGCCCTCCTTCACACTGAGAGGCACAATCTGTAGGACGGATGAGAACAACAGACACAGCTAAGGGTGTGGAAGGCGTCCTAGAGGAAGTGGTAGTTAGACATGGCTGATGCACGAAGGGGACACAGGCCATTCTAGGTGCAGAGTTTAGGGGTACTGGGATGCTGTTTTCAAAATGGGAACCAAAGCCAGTGGGTTACCGAGAGCGGGCCAGCTCATGTCCCCTCCGCCCGAGTCATAGAGCACTAAGTGGGACAGGACAGTCAGGATATGAGAGGAAAGGGCTGCAGTGGTACCCCCCCCACCCCCCACCCCCTGGGCAGCACGCTCCTAATGTGGTGACCAGAGCCTGTCCTTCCAGGTCATCTCCAAGGTCATGGAGATGTTCCAGCCGAGCGCGGTCGTCCTCCAGTGTGGCTCTGACTCCTTGTCTGGGGATAGGCTAGGTTGTTTCAACCTGACCATCAAAGGTGAGACCAGGTGGTGGCAGGGATGGGTGGGTGGGGTCCTCCCGGGGTTCTCCTTTAATGCAGTGCGCCCTTTCTCCCACCAAAGGGCACGCCAAGTGTGTAGAATTTGTGAGGAATTTCAACCTGCCGATGCTGATGCTGGGAGGAGGTGGTTACACCATTCGCAATGTCGCACGGTGCTGGACATATGAGACAGCTGTGGCCTTGAGCACAGAGATCCCCAATGGTAATAGCGCTGCCCCTCAGGCTGCACGGGCCTGGCCCTGCCCTGCCGGTCACATGTCCTCGGCTCCTTTGACATGAAACCATCTATTGGGCTGCTAGCTGCTGCTCCTCGGGAGCATAGATGTACAGCGCCGCCAGGAGGGGCAAGGGACAGTGGGATTTGTACCCTCTTGTGATTGAAAGGTCGTAACCATCAGCTCCTGCTCTGTCCTCTTTGACTCTGCGGCCTCTCCCTGCTTCTGACCTGGACAGAGTGACTGGGGTGGCAGCTTTGGGAATGCTCCTGGAGGGTGGCTGGGAGGGAGCACTCAGTGAGCATTGCTGCTTTTCTCAACTTGGGGGCCCCTGGGGGTTTGGGCAGTCCCATCATCGTGGTCTAGCTTACTGGTGAGAACTCAGGAGCAGAGCATTAAACAGGCTTCAATTCCATGCTCACCCAGGTCTCAGCCTGTTTTAGGAGGCAGTCCATGCTGCCTTTGGTAGATGGGCAACTAGGCCCATAGACACTTCCAGTTATTTGCTCAAGCTCCCACGCTGGGAAAATCACCCAGTCTCTTGACTCTTCCCATTCCGATCAGAGCTTCCATACAACGACTACTTTGAATACTTCGGACCAGATTTCAAGCTTCACATCAGCCCTTCCAACATGACCAACCAGAACACTAATGAGTACCTGGAGAAGATCAAGTGAGTGGCCCCCAACCTCCCTCACCTGGCCAGTCCGGGCTCAGGCTTGTCCCTGACCATACTCTGGTTTGCCACAGGCAGAGACTCTTTGAGAACCTGAGGATGTTGCCCCACGCCCCTGGGGTCCAGATGCAAGCGATCCCGGAGGACGCTGTCCCAGAGGAAAGTGGCGATGAGGACGAAGAGGACCCCGAGAAGCGCATCTCAAGTAAGACCCAGACCTAGGGGCTTGCACCTTCCCACTTGACAGGCAGTTCTGAATTCCCTTCACCCTTCTCAACATCACCTCCTGTTGAGAAGCCTGCATTTCCTGGGTCTAAGACCTATGGGGAACAGATTAGGGAGGGCACATCCCCGCCCCTCTGTCTCAGTGGTGGCATTTGGAAACCCTGAGCACAGCATCTCTACATCACACCCTGGGCCTGTCTTCCAGTCTGCTCCTCTGACAAGCGAATTGCTTGTGAAGAAGAGTTCTCCGACTCTGATGAAGAGGGAGAGGGTGGCCGCAAAAACTCTTCCAACTTCAAAAAAGCCAAGAGGGTCAAAATAGAGGATGACAAAGAGAAAGAACCAGAGGAGAAAAAAGGTGGGTAGCGTGGGGACTGAAGTCTTGGGCCCTGGAGGAGGAATCCATGTAGGGCATTAGGAGGCCGCAGCTTACCTGGGCCCTGCCAGCTCCTTGGGCCTCTGAGCAGCTCCTGAAGTAGCAGGGCCAACTGAGCCCCTTCAGTTCTCCAGGCCCAGGACTGCCGGCGGGGGCTCTCCATGGGCAGGAGCTGGGGCTTACCTCTCCAGCTTTTTCCCAGGGGGCTGCCTCCGCCCCGCTGAGCTCAGGCTTGGGAAAAACCGGTTCAACTTGTTTGTTCCCAGCAGGGCTCTCTGGGAGGGCTTAGGATGGGCTTCTCTCCAGTGTCCAAGGAATAGCTCTGGGGAGGGTGTTTTAGAATGAGACTCCTGAGGTCTTTCCTGAAGGGCTGCCCTTGACTGTTCCTACACTCTTGGTTCTAGAAGTCACAGAAGAGGAGAAAGCCAAGGAGGAGAAGCTTGAAGCCAAAGGGTGAGGAGGGAGCACCACCCTTCTGCCCCACCACCGGGACATACTGGGGACAGTTGGTCCAGTTGATAGCAGTCCCTGGTTTCCCCATCACCTGAGTGGCCACACCTTTGCCTCTCTGACACCGGTCTCTTGCTTTCTCCACAGGGTCAAGGAGGAGGTCAAGTTGGCCTGAGCAGACCTCCGGCTCCAGACTCTTGCAAAGTTCCAGACATTTCTTCCCTAACCCCTCAGAGTTTATATTTTCTATTTCTCTGTGTATTTATATAAAAATATATTAAATATAAATATCTCCAGGGACTAGACAGGAACCAGGGCCCTGAGCTGGCCCTGGGCAGCTTGGCTAGGTAAACCTCCAGCAGCTGCCTCGCCAGCTAGGCTGTTCTTTTTCAGTGGAAAAGGTAGTTTTAGGTAGTCACAGGACAAAATCCTGCTGAGGGGACCTCCTTTGGAAAGACACCCGTTACTGAGCAATCTAGGGGTGGCTTGGCTTTTCAGGGACCCTTGTACTTTTTCTTCAAGGCTCCTTAAGATTTTGGATGGGTTCTTTTCTCATTTAAACCCCCACCCCTTCCCCACTGTTACAGCCTGGCCCCAAGTGAGCCAACCCACTCTCACTGCCTGCCCTCTGGGACCTTGGCTCTTCAGGTGGAGGGCACCAGTCTAGTTTTCCCTTTTCAGATACTATTTTCATGTTTGTGAAAACCTTTGTAATAAAAAATGGTACATTTCTCTATTCTGTGAGCTTCCCCGGGGGCAATATGGACTCTTTTTGTGCCCGTGATGGTCCGGCCACCCTCAGGTTGCCTAGCTTCCCCACCCTAACCCCAGAAGACCACTCATGGCACAGCACCACTAAGGGACAACATTTATTCCTTTTACAAAGGTGACAGGTGAGACCAGGTGGAAGAGAGTGGTTTTAGCAATTAGAATAGAAAAACAAAAGAAGATACAAATCTGGGGGTTGGCCATTAAAAGTTATTTACAACAAGAGGGAGGGGGCAGGGAACAAAGGAAAGGAGTTGTTTTCACATTACATCTCTCTCCCACCCCAAAGCCTAGTACTTGCTCACCAAGTCAAAAAAGAGACACAAGTGGATTCACAAGCTGAGAGGTTTGAACTTGAGTAAGATGTTTATAAAAACCTAGACAGGACAATGTCCTCCCCAGCCCTGGGGCCACTAGGCACAGCACAAGAGACTAAAAACTCAACTGAGGGAAGGCTGGTTTTGGAGTGTAGGCACCCCACTTCTGGCTCAGGGACTTGGGGAGCAGGATTAACAAAACCTATTGGATAAGAATTAGGGAAGAAAACCAGCAATTGCTTGTGCAGGGGTAGGGACAGGGAAGGAGGGAGGGCATTTCACATCACTAACCTAACTTGGGGAACTGTAAGGGACCATCTTCAACTGGCCCCGTGAGGAAGGCCAGATGGATGATGGGAGAATCCACAGGAGGGAGAGGGGACGTGGCTGGGAGGGGGCAACAGCCCCTTCTTTTCTGGGCACAGGAAGGCAGCTGGGGCACCAGGTCCAGGCAGTGACCTCACAAGGACAGCACAGTTCTTGGAGCTTCGAGATCACCCACCTGTCCCCACCCAGCTACTCATTCTGCTCGCTGGCCGCTGTTGGGCCACTCTCTGGCCCTGAGGGAGTGGACGGCTCAGCAGCCTGGGGCCCTGGCTCTTCTTCCGTGTCTCCTCCCTGAGAGGCAACACCAGCCTCTGCCCCCTTGGCCTGGGGCTCCTGGCTCTCAGGGGTGGCAGCCTTCCCTTCCAGGGCAGTGCCCTCGTCACTGCAGGCACCCGTCTCCCCCTGCTCTTGCTCTTCCTCTGTGGGGGAGGAGGCCGAGGAGTCCCCCCCACCCTCCTTGCGATTTCTCTTGAAGGACAGGCCGCTCAATTTGAAAGGCTTCTTGAAAGAGAATTTCTTCTTCTTCTTGGGGGTCTCCTTGTGAGGGGCCTCCCCCTTGGCCTCAGTGCCCTGGGTTGGGGGTGCTGGCTCGATGGCATCGCCAGTCGCCCCAGCAGCCTCCTCTGTTCCGTTCACGGGGGGCGATTCCCCTTCACCCTTGGGGGACAAGTCTCCATTGCTTTTCACGTGGCCGTTCTCCTGTAGGGCAGAGGAGATGGCAGTGAGGGCGGGGGCTCACTCTCCCCTCCCCCAGCCCGCTCTGGCCCCCTTCCACCCAAATGGGCTCCCCAACTCGGTTCTCCTGTGGCTGGCTTTGGCCTCACCCCACACCTGGGACGCCGTCAAACATCTCCCTCCGGAGGCGCGACGGGGGCGGGTGCAGAGGCCATGGCCGACAGGAGGCGCTGGGATTCTGGGGAGGGTGGGGGTCCTCATCCCTCCCCAGGGGCGCCCTTCGCCAGTCCGCGCCTTTGCAGCGCCCGGGGCGGGCGGCATTGGGCGGGAAGCCGCCGTGGGCGCAGGCTCCTTGTACCTGGACGGCCCACACCCCCCAGCCTCCTCCTTGGTGCAAGGGGCGCCCCCACCCACTGCAAGGTCTGCTCACATCACGGCTCCCCCTGAAGCCCACCGTAGACCTCCGAGGTCGGGTCTAAGGGAGGGGTACCCGCCCCGCGGAGCACCGGGTACCCCCTCGGCCGGCCGGGCAGCGCCTTTGTTCCCCGCGCAGCACTCGGGGCGGCCTGGGGGCAGCGCCGGGGGCCAAGGCCGGGAACAAAGGAGGCGGCAGGGCCCGTCCAGCGCCCCCTCCCCGCCCCTCCCCTCGCTTCGCCCGCGGGGGCTGCGGCGCCGAGAACAAAGGGACGGGGCGGGGGAGGGGGTGCCGCGTGTCCCGGGCCGGACAAAGCGCGCGGCCCAGCCCAGGGCCTAGAGGGGGCGAGGGGCGAGAGGAGCGGGCCGAGTCCGGTCGTGCTGAGCGCACCCACCTGTCCATTGGCCTTGGCTGGGGAAGCGCCCGCGGCCTCCTCGGCGTTCACGTCGCCCCGGGGAGCCTTAGAGCTCTGGCTGCCCATGCTGGGTGGGGGTCTGCTGGGGGCGCCCAGAGCCGCCCCGGGCTCGCGCCGCAGGGATAGTTCGGCGGGGTAGGCCTGGCTGGCGGAGGGGTGGGGCTCGCTCCGGAGGGGGAGGGGTGTCTGGGAGGAAACCGAGCTGCACCCCCGCTCCGCGCGCGACCCGCTAACCGCACCCACCGCCTCTCCGCTCCGCGCCGGAATGCCGCCCGTCGCCGGCCGAGCCGCCTATATAAGCGCCGGGAGCACGGGGGCGGGGCCGGGCATTTAAATGAGCGCCCAATGGAGGGGCGGAGGCGGGGCCAGGGCACGAGCCCCTCTGGTGCGGCGGACAGCTAGCGGTCTGGCTACCCCACCCCACCCGTCCACCAGGAGCAGGTGGCCGGTGTAGGATGGAGAGAGCCGGGTCCTTCAGGGAGCGGGGGGCGAGGGCGACGTCTGCAAGGAAAGGGAGGGATTAGCGTTTCCATCACCCTACGGCCCACCGCTCAGGGTGGGCGCGCGGCACCGGAGAGTGACCGCCGCGCCCGCCATCCATCCCTATGGTCCTGCCTGTCGCCCCCATGCACTCTTCTAAGGGCTCGAAGCCCGACTCGTCAGACGGCTGCTCCTGACTTAGCTCCAGAAAAGGTGGTCGGCCCACCGCAGGGCCGCCGCGTCCACGCCCCCTCTGGCCTGGAGAGCGCTTAGAAGGGAGAGCCACCCACCTCCCTGCCCACTCTCCTTGACCTGCCTGATTGGGGCGTCCGTCTGACACGCCGGTGGCCCCCTCCAGCCTCACCCCTCCCCTCCGCTCCTCGATAGCCAGTCAAGCAGAGCTTGAATCCGCAAGCTTTCCAGCGACTGCTCTCAGCCTGGACCTGCTACAAAGTTAGCTTGGAGAGGGGCGGGGGTGCCCTGTGACCTTGAAGGTCAACTTCATCCCCATTTGAAAACTGGCCTGAGGCTCAGAGAGGCTGACGACCTGTCCATCTCGTGTCTGGTGCACCCCCTCCCCCCAAGCACACGCCATGGGCTCCCGGGCCTCAGGGCTCCCAGGACAGAGAACCCCATCATGGAGAAACTACACCCCCTGCCCCTGCTTGGTCCTGAAGAGGTAGGGTAGGAAACACATCAGCCCCCCCCAAGACTCCGCAGCTTGACCCCTTGCCCTGCTGGGCAGGGGTGCCTGGAACCACTACCACTTCCCCTTCCCGTGACCTGGGCAGGCCAGTGGGAACCCCAGAGTCCTGGTCCCGGATGTGTACGTCCTGTTGCCCACTCAGCCCTCAGGAGGAAGAGGAGGAAGACTGGAGGAAGCTCAGTGTTACAAAAGCTGCGTTCAGGCCAGCTCAGCACCTCTCTCCTTTCCTCCCTCCCTCCCACAGCAAGGCCAAGGCTGAGGAGGCCCCTGCTGTGTGACGTGTGGAGACACCCCAGGGCCTAAGAAAGCCAGAACTCCCTGCAGATCTGACCGCTGAGGAGCGAGGAAGGGTGGGGTGGTGTCCCCATCTGTTAGTACTGTACTCACACCTGGAGTGTCTGGGGCCCCACCCCCACTCTGAGGTACCAACTATTCTCAGCTTCTGTGGCACCTACCCATTTTACAGACCGGGACACTGAGGTCCAGAGAGGGAAAGCACCTCATGCCCCAGGACACACAGAAGATACCTGGAACTGAGAGAACGGATTTGGAGAAACCGGATCACATGGCCTGGGAGCTGTGAAGACCTCCCTGGGTGGATTGCCCATTGGGTTGGGGGCATCAAGGATTGCAGCAGTGGCCCCTCCATCCACTGCCACCAAGTATTGGAGGTAGTGACCTGTGTGTGTGAGAGAGAGAGCCACAGTGGTGAACCCACAATGCTACCAGGCACGGGCAGCCTGGACAGGCAGGCCTCCAAGAGTGGGTGTGTGAGGCCTGGAGGCGGCCCTGGGTCAGAGCTAAAGCACAGTCCCAAAGCTCTGATTCCTGTTCCCAGGTGCTGCCCCTGGAGAGCCAAAGGGAATCCCTGGACTGTGCCCAGGAGGGGACCCAGAGCCCTGGGAAGGAGGTATCCATAGAGGAGGTTCCCTGACCCCCTCACCAGACATCCCACGAGTCTAGGGAGGGTGCCCTAGAACCCAATTCCTCAAAAAATCCAGGTCCCAACAGAATCTGGCTTCTGGAAGAGAGTTTAGGGAGGCCTGGGGTGGGGGGCACCCCCAGCAGGCCCTTCAGCCTCCCCCATCCACACTGCAGCTCCTTCCTCCCCAGCTGCTATCAGTCCGGACAATGTGGCCATTGTTCCGTGTCTCAGGGGGCCTGTGTGCCTCTGACTATGTTTCTCTCTGTGCAACTGTGTATTGCTCTGTATCTGTCTCTGTGTGAGACTTTGTGGCTGTTCGGGTGTGAGTGCCCAGGTGTGTAGGTTTGTGGTTGTGTGAGTTTGCGTCTTTGTTTGGGTGTATTTCAGGCTGAGAAAGAGGTGCCTGCTGACTCTTGGTGACTCAGTGACTTTCTGGGTGTGTGCCTGTCTGGCCCTGGGACTGGGCAGTGGTGACTGTGCCTATACCTGGCAGTGTTCGGGTGTGTAACTGAGTGTGTGAGAGAATACCCAGCTATGGGGTGTGGATGGAAGAGTGGTTTCTTCATGTTTGTGTGAGGGACCGTGGGAGTGGCAGGTCTGCCTCTCTGGACCAATGAAGCTGCGGGTTCAGAACCCATGCAGTGTGGGCCTTTGCTAGGGCAAGGTGGCTGCTGGGAAAAGACCAACGGGAAGGCCAGGTGACTCAGGAATGGGCAGGGGGAGGGACGGTACTTCAGGAAGCATGGATCTCAGGAGAGGCTCAGGTCAGCACTTTGAGGGGCCTGCACTGGGATCAGATTAGACAGTGTGAAGGCACTATCTAGTCAGAGATGGAAGGAGGGGTCTTCCTGGTCAGGCCCCAGGATGCTGGGTCGAGGCAAGGACATAGGACTTGGCACAGGTTGGTTCCCAGCCCAAGTCCCTATTTCCTTCTGGGGAGCGGGCCCAGGCTGGCCTTGGTGATCTGGGTTCCAGACCCAGGCTGGCTATGTGCCACTTAGCTAGTCCTCTGGCCTCTGTGACCTGAGTGGCTCACCTCCACCGAGGGGCTGGGCATCGTGAGTCACGTTCGAGATGCAACGGAGTTCCCTCTCTGTTCACATACAACCGGACCGAGTAAGGGGTGAGTCATACAGGGGCCCTGTCCCCAGGGACTTCCCAGGCCAGAAGGCAGAGACAGGCAGTCGCTGATGGGAAGAGAAAAGGGCGGTGGGTGGAGCTTGGAGCAGGACAACTCAGGAGCATGGAATAGTCTGTGTGAGGGGATCCAGGCTTCGGGGGCTGGCTGCAGGGACCCGGGAGCAGAGGGGTCATGGCACTGCTGCTGAGGTGAGCCATTGACTGAGGCCTGCCGACTCATCAGAAGACAGAAGAACTAGGGTGGGGGGTGCTGAGCGTGAGGTGTGTGGGGAGCTTTCAAGGACCCCGCATGGCACAAGCGGTTTTTGTCTTGTTGCGATTGGAGCCCACCCAAGGATGCTGGAGAAGAAAGGCCTGTTTCCATCAAGCTTCCAGCCGAGAGAAGCCTGTGAGGTGGCTCCACCCTGGACCGTGCCGGGTCACAGGGGTCGGAATCGCTCTCAACCGCAGGGCTTTGACTTTTGTTGCTGTTGGGGGAACATCCAAGTGGCCATCTAGGTCCCAGTACTTTAGCACTGACATGAGGCCCACGGGGCCCAAGCTAGAGTCTGGGGCCAGAATCTGGCTAGCGACTTTAAAGGGACACAGGACAGAACTGACCCCAGGAATTCTGGTCCCCTGATGGCTGCCAGACAGACAGTAACTGGAGCCAAGCAGTTCCTGAGCTCCCCCCAGAAGTACCCTGAGCAGTGCCATGGCTGGTGGGGTGGGTGGGGTGGGGGCAGTAGTAGGCAGCAGGAGAGGACGGACCCTGGGAAGGAGTCTGCTAAGAGTGGGAGGAAACCCCAAAGCACAGAACTGGAAAACCAAGACCACCGGGGAATGTCTAAAGGAAGGGCCAGAATCATCTACCACATCATCGTGGTCGTCATCCCTCCCTCCCTCCCTCCCATCTAGTCAGTGGTGACTCAGCAGCCCCTTTAGGGCAGAGGAGAACTGCCCCTATGAGTTTCCAGACTAACTCTTAACAGGAATAGAAAACCACGTCTTTCTCCCGTGGAGTACCCCGTGGTTTCGAACTGCTGACCTTGCTATTAGCAGCCCAACGCGTTACCACTGCACCACCAGGACTCCTGATCATCATCACAGCTACTAGCATTGGCTAAGTCTTACAGTATGCCAAGCTCTGTGCCAACTACTCTACTATGCATGCCCTAGTGAGAAGTGCACCCTCCTCGCTTCCGTTGACAGGAGGATATGGGGCACCCTCAGTGAGGCAGAGGAGGGGTCCGGGATGAGCAGGAGCTCTGGTTCTAAGTCAAGTAGAAACATACAGAAAGGTTCTGATGTTTTGGGATGCCAACAGAGAGAGAGAGAACAACTGTGGGCCTGGGGCTCCGGGACTAGAACCTTAAAACCATTACTGCTTCTCCTGGGCCTGAGTGTGCTGGGTCTGAGCCTCACTGTCCATCAGGGACCTTGGGGTCCCTGGAATCCTGTAGGCTTTTCTTTGTTTCCACATGCATGGAAAAGCTGAACATTGAGACTCAAACCGTCCAACCAGTCACGAAATCACAACAGTAAGGACTCTGATAGTTTTAGGTGTGTGTGTGTGTGTGTGTGTGTGTGTGTGTGTGTGTGATGTAAGCAGGGCTGGGTCCAGCCATTATCTCGAGGGCTCAGTTTCCTCAACAGTAAATAGGCTTGTACTCCCTGCCCTCCTGTTTACCTCCCCCAAGTTTGGTGAGATCACCAGAAATTTTTCAGGGCTGCCCTGAGCCTGCCCTTTTCCCTCCTGCCCCCACCTCTTCCTAACGTTTGGTTTCTTTTCAGATCCCAGGAGCCTTTGGGGAGGGGTGGCCGAGCCAACGCAGTGAGGATTGCTTACAACTTTCCACCAAAATCTCCCACTTTAGGGAAGTCCCTTCAAAAGGGAAAGTGAAACTCCCCCCTCCCCCCCCAGTCCCCTTGTCCCTCCCCTCACACACACCCCCACTCCGTCAGCTCCCCCACTCTGCCTCTGTCCCTAACTACTTCTGCCCCCCTGAGCCAGTCCCTCCC